TGCCAAATTGAGTACCTATGTGAGTGGTTTTGGGGTATTTTCTTCCTTGAAGCTCCAGTTTTGGGCATTTCAATCTCTTATCTGACAAATGTACCCTTCCGCTAAGCCCAATCTCTTAGCGATATTGTTGCTAAGATGCCACAAAAGGACAGCGTAAAAACATATGCAAACAGGTGCATTTGTGTGACAAACACATGTGCTTGTTAAACATGCAAATTATTTCTGGCCCCATACTGATGATTGGTCAGTTGCTAAGTTGGATTGACACCAGGGCGGGAAAAATGTGCGCAAGCAGCGGTTTGAGGCATTGACCTTTAACCCGGAGGCATTTTCTGCACATCACAATTTAATGCATAACTAAATTTAATATTTTTGCTTGCTCCAAACCACTAAATGTACTACTGTTTCGCTATAATAGTGTAAAGATAACATTTGGTCCTGGAAGCATTTAAACAAGATAATTTTCATGGTTGGGGGCACAAAAATATTTTTTCCAGGCCTGATTGACACCCCGAAAAGGTATGTTACATACTTGGTTAGACATTTTTTGCTGCAGCAAGGATTTGCATGCAAAATCATGAACTGTACATACAACTTCTTGAAAATTTATCTTGTAAAATTTGTCAAAATAAATATGTATATTACGAATTTTATTGGTCTGTATGATAAATGTGTGTATTTTATGAATACTTACCTGGATAACCCGACTAAATTCCCCAAAACGGAACACCCCTTCGGAAAAAAAAATTAGAACAGTCCGACCCAGGGCGCCACGTACAAACCGTCTCCCTAACAATCGTCCTCATTCCCTATTCGACGTTGTTCGTTAAAGGAGGTCCTTTGTGCTGTAGTAGCCTAAATTGCTAAGACCATGTGTCTCAAATTGTGTTCTTTGTTATCTTTTGCAAGAAGAATTCTTGGATTGTTATTTTCACCTTGGAATTTTGGATTTCTTTTTAAGAAGTTTCAGACGACATATCCTTTCATTTTAGCTTAAGTTGTCTCTTTTTTTCATTATGTCCGCTCCGCGCGCAAGTCGTTGTGCTCGACGTGTGGGGGCCCCAAACCGATTGTCAAGCTTGATAGACACTCGGAGTGCCCTTTGTGTCACTCTTGCAGCAAAGCGGAGCCTTGCGAGTTTGCCCCCTACTAAGTTTGCGGCGGCTCTTGATTGGGCAGCTCAGACTGCCCCTCGATCTGAGAGTTCATTTCTGGCTGCGTCAAGGGTTGTAGAGACGAATTTATGTAGCAACTATCATGTATATATTTACATAAGTTCCATACATGAATATAATGTAGCAACTATCATGTATATATTTACATAAGTTCCATACATGAATATAATGACAAAGTGTCATATATGTTTGTCTTGGACAGACTTTCATACTAAAATATTTATCACAATGACTAAGTATATTATGAGTCTATTTCATGAATACTCACCTTGGTGACCTGCTAGTGCTTAAGTTTCTTTTAGCAGAACTTACCTGTACCTTCAAAAAATATGTGGAATTGTCCATCTTAGTGCAGTGTATGTAATAAATATGCAATAAGTAATGAACTACATCTTTCTTTACTTAAATACAGGTTTGGTGAACCCATGCGCTAGTAGCAGTTGCAGCCATTTGTGTCTTATCGCTCTCGGTGGATCATCGTACAAATGTGCATGCCCTGATAACTTTAGATTAGTTAATGGCATTACGTGTGAAGCAAACTGTACCAACCAACAGTTCCGTTGCAATGACAACAGCAAATGTATCCCAAGTTACTGGAAGTGTGATGGCGAGGTCGACTGCGCTGACGGATCAGATGAACCCAGCTCGTGTCGTAAGTTTCAATTGTTAGCCAACTGATTGGCTTTCTAGTATCCATGTTCCATTTAATCTGCCAGGCTAATTTTTATCATGCAAACATTAGAATAAATGAATAATTGTAGTAATTAATACGTTATTTCAAACTGATAAGGCAACTGACCAACTCATTTGATTGATAATTTGTGTACATATCTTGTATGCAGAGATAATGAGCTATGTATAGTCTAGCAAAAATGGCTATACTCTATAGTTGCTACAGGGGTGGATTGCAATAAAACTGTCTTAACTGGTAGTCTTAACTTCTCAATTGAAGCCGGCTTTAACACTTAGACGGTCTTACTAAAGTCATTCCTCATAGACCATTGCTATTAAACAGTTTTCCCTAAGACCGCTTCGAGTTTGAAATGCAGACAAGCACTCCCCGGTAACAAAAGATTGGGGGCAACGAAATGAATGTAAATAAACATAGACCTATTTTCGCAGACGCTGAGAAGCGTGCGGAATATTCGTCGTTCGATTCTCCGACTTTGACGATCTAGGCCTGGGTCTTGCCATTGCACTGTTGAATTAACCAGCATAACGCCATGATGAAAATGATTTAAGACCGTTTTAATCCTCCTTCAAGTAGACTTTAAAATTAAAGACGGCTAACTGGTTAGACCGCGGTATAGCAATGGTCTATATTCTTAGACCACTAGTGATGTCACGATTATAGCCAGCTAACCGTTAAGACCGTCTAAAGGCAGCTTATAGCAATCCACCCCAGGTCTCCCTCCAATTAAAGTCCACTTTTAGGACCAGGGTTTTAGTGGTCTTCAACAGCTTTGATCTCCCTATTTAAAAACTGGCACTAAAAGTGGTGTTTAAATTATAAAATGATGTAGTAAATGTAAGATTGAATGGATGTACAGTTTACTGTATACTGTGATTTTTAATATACCATTTCCCTGTAGTCACACATCAAGTCCTGCACCAAAACATGGTCTTTGGTCTCTAAATAGGAGTCTTTAATTGGAGGTAAACCGCTAATGATTCAACCAGGGCTGTAGAAAAGAGGTCTATATTAGGAGGTGGTCTTTGTTTGGCGGGGTCTTTAATTGGAGGGAGACCTAGCTGTACTTTTGTTAAGCAGAAACTAAAACATGTCTACGGTTCAAAAGCTTATATTTCTGAGATGTATGGCATTTTCATTACATTAGCTCCTTATGGTCCTGTATTCAAGTTTTTCAGTTCCAGCAATTTGCATATTTTTTAAATCTCAGAATATTAGAATCCCTATTTCGAGTGAAAAAAAAGTGATATTGGATTTTAATAGATTAATGATTAACATTGTAATGTTTCCCTTTTTGATATAATGAATAAAGTTATATATGCACTGGATAGAAAAAAAAACTTTTTGTTTTTGATTTGTAGCACAGCCATTCTGTAGTCCAGGATATTACCCTTGTGACAATAAAGTGTGTATTTTCCCACAATATATGTGTGATGGGAAGGACGACTGTGGAGACAGTAGTGATGAAGGCACAATGTGTGGTAAGTTATACTACCACATTAATTACAATTATTACAGTTATTATGATTATGATTATTATCAATTATAATTATTATTGAATGTTTTAAACTTTGATTCCATCAAAATAACTATTTTCAGTATTACTTTTATTATTATTACTTAAACACACACCCCTTAAAATATAATAGACCCATCCACTACAGGTTATCATTATAGCCAAGCTAACAATGATATGTGCATTCACACTCACTGCTGATTTGATTAATATAATAATGTTTATTTGTGTAGTGCGCATATTGCAAAATGTTGACTGTTGTTTGTTTGCAGATAACTCTGAATGCAGTCCCTGGGAGTTCAGATGTGGGACAGGTAATTGCATTCAACAAAGATTGGTGTGTGATCAAGTCAACGATTGTACTGATGGCTCTGATGAAAGTTCAGGAACATGTGCTGGTAAATTTTTAAAGACTTACTGTATTAGAAGATATAGACTTGTTTTTATATTCTATTTATATTATATTTTGATGAACATATTATTATATACTATTAATTAATTAGATTAGGTGATATAAAATGATTTTATCGTTCATAGATCAGATAGCCTTCATATCAGATCATGTGGGTCGAACCAGGTTATCCTAGGGTCAGATCACCTTTAGATCAGATCAACTACCTTAAATTCTTGAACAAGTGCTGTTCTCAAATAAGCACTGCGGCGCATAAGGCCTACCAGACTACAGGAATATGTGAGATAGGTAACATTTGAACAGGCATGAAAAGCACTATGCCAATATGTTTTGTAATACGCACCGTTCTCGAATAACCGCCGCTGCAGAATTCAAGGATTTATTGTGATCCTCTTCACGTCAATTCAGATTATTTGTGTATTACCTTTTGTTCAGACCATCCACATATCAGATAATCGTCAGATCAGATCACTTGTAGGTGGGATTTTCTGTGGATTAAATCATCTATTAAATCATCAATGATCTGATTATTAGTGAATCAGCTCACTTCAGTGTAGAATAGATCATTCATTGATCAGATCATCTTCAGACCAGAACTGAGATTTATAATCAGATCCAATCATCTGTGGATCAAATTTTCCTTTGTAATTATATCAAGCTCAATATTTTCATGTCCACGTGTATGAATCATGACAATGAATTGCATCTTATCATTGCTTTTCCTGTTACGGTTTTGTTATGTAGGTCGGCAATGTCTAGACGGATACTTTACTTGTGATAATGGTTACTGCATCCCTGAATCTTGGGTTTGTGATCTTGATAATGACTGTGGTGATAATAGTGATGAGCCGCATAGTGTTTGCCGTAAGTGTCACCCTCTATCTTGTCATTCATTGAGCACTTAAAAATATCAAAACATGACTTTTTTTTTTTATATATGCAAACATAGCCCTTTTACATAATATTAGCTACATTAAACTTCATTGTATTCTGATTTTGAATTTAACACAAGCTTTGCCATAGGTTGACTTTTTCTAGACATCATCTACTGATTAATAGAAATGTTTGAAATATTGGTTCTAACAGTATGACATAAACAACTAATGATGTGTAAAATTACGTCGTTAAATCTGTTTGTCTATTTCGTGAATACTTACCTGGATAAACCGACTAATTGCCATTGTTCCCAAACGGAACACCACTTCGGAATAAATGGAACAGTTTGAGCCAGAGCACCACGTACGAACCGTCTCCCTAACAAATGTCCTCATTCCCTTTTCGACGTTCATTGAAAGTGAACCTCCTTTAGAAGTGCTGGATCAAGTAGTTCCACGTGTCTCGTGTTCTCTACTGCGAGAAGGATTTTCTACTTTTCTGCCTTGGATTTTATTTTCAAGAAGTTGTTGGATTCTGAATTTTTACTTTCTGCCTTGGATTTTATTTTAAAGAAGTTGTTATACGACATAACCTTTTTTGTAGCTGATTGGTCTCTTCGTACGCTATGTCCGCGCTATGTGTAAAATTTTGACGTTAAATCTGTTTAATTGAAGTTTAATAAAGATTTCTATTTAATTTTATTCAGTACTGGTTGCCAATTTGTTTTTGAAAGAGAAATTATAGACTGGTATATTGCTTAGAATGTGATACAAGTTATGGCTCAATATTTCAAAGTTTTCTCTTCATCTTCATTATTATTTCTTCTTGATCATCTTCTTTTATATGTTTGGTGTATATAAATTGATTAATTTGTTATAATTGATAAATTTGTTGTATGTTTATTATTTTTAATGTTTCATTGGTTTTCCAGAGCAAGGCACATGCCAACCGGGATGGCTTCCATGTGAAACTAATTACCGCTGCATTCCTTCCTATGCCTTCTGTAATGGGTATGACAATTGCCGAGATAACAGTGATGAGAGTTCATCTAAGTGTAGTAAGTCCAACTATAAATATTGTTATAAGTATTGTCAAGGGTAAATTCTCGAAAAAAAAAACCCTTCAAAAATTAAATTAAATATCTTGAATTGTTGTAGGATTGAATATGATAAACAAAGAGTGACAGATCAAACAACTGACCTTTCCATTAAGCCACGCCCCTTGGATATTGTTGCCAAGGTCTCACAAAATGACATTAGGGAGCTTTTGATTGCATGACGACGGTAAGACGTAGAACGTAATGACGTCACTAAAAGTCACTTTGTCGAGGAAATTCTGGAACGCAATTTGGCCAAATCTATGTACGTAGGGAACGTTGAACGCCATGTAGGACGGTCACACATCAGTGATTCCGTTCTAGAGTCGCGTCGTCGCACAAATTGAAAGTTTCCTAGTGTAAAGTGTGCATAAACACGAGCCTGATGGAACAACACATGTGCTCCTTGGATGTGGATATATTTCTGGCCCTGTTCTCATTTCACAGTTTTTAAGCTTGATTGACACTCTCGAATGGTACATTCAGTTGTTGTCAATTAAATGCATTATTGTTAGAGCGGTTGGTTGTTGGACAAGGCACTTTACCTATGTTTGTCTGTCTCCACCCAGGAGTATAAATGGGTACTCGGTGGCTCACTACTGGGGAGAAAGATGGCATGGAAAGGAATTTGCCACCCTACCACACAATTTAGTGGCTTAGCGCAATTGGCTAACAGCTCATTTCCCCACCTTCAAGTAATGAATATGGGACTACCTTTTACTACAATGATTACTATAATGATTTTCCAGCTTAAGGGTCTAAGGATATAGGATTTAATCATCTTCTCATTCTAATTTTTAATGACAAATGCTAATAACTTTAATATACAGCATCAACTTTTAAGAGAATATCTGTAAATGAAAATAATTGCTGAAATTTCTCTCAATTTTTCTTTGTGGTGTGTAGCCACAACAAATCATGAGAGGAACCACTGATTATTAACCCTGTAAGTAAATTTTCTGATAATGTAATTACGCTTAACACTTCATTGTGATATTGACTGGAGTATTCTACAGTTGGTATTTCAATTATGATTGTTTCTGCACTGCTATATTCTTATTTTTATAGACAACCAGCAATGTGACAGTGTTGGTGAGTTTCAGTGCTCAGATTCCTCGTGTATACCTTTACGTTGGAAATGTGACACAGAAAATGACTGTCCAGATGGTGGCGATGAAGAGGGCTGTGGTAATTAATTATTGAATTTATTATTATTATTGTTTATTGTATGTAATGTATTCAAAATTATGTTTTAAGTATTCATGCTGTATATTTGATACAATGATTTCTTTTATTTTCTATTGCTTCTGTTTCACCCTCTCTCAAGTGTACAAAAAAAATTTTGATTTTGCAAAACCATTCACTATTTTTTTGTGAAGTCAACTAAAGCAATGTACTTGGCTGCTTAAAATTGAATATTCTATCCATGGTTACTGTACATTATAATTTTACCATTATTTTACATATTGCATGTTAATTTGAATCAACAATTTTATGCATATGTAAAAGTGTACAAATTTGTCTACCCCTCCCCCCACCCCCAGCGTACTCTTTGTACACGTGTGAAAATGTTGATATTGTTGAATGACCCCTAAGAGGAATCTCAAAGGAAAATTCTCAGTATAGTCCGCTCCTCCAACCTTTACTTTATTTCCTTTATCTTGAGTGGCCTTTAGGCTTTGTTATGTCAAATTTATTTTGATAAAATTGTGATGCATCTGCCCCATTATTTTTCTTGTATACACATATCAATTTTGAGAGCTTTGTAAATTTAATGGTATTTTGATACTTGTTTGTTTTAGCACCGAGAGATTGTACTGAAAGTGAGTTCAGATGTGGTGCAACACAAGTATGCATTCCAAGTACTTGGATCTGCGATCATGATGATGACTGCGGGGATAACACGGACGAAATAGCTTGCCGTAAGTTTCATTTTAAATGCAAGTAATTGCTGCGGCAAGGTTTGTTCAAAGGTTTAAAACCTCTCGCTGTGCACTTTGCTTGTGTCATTGACAAGGCACTTTATTCCGATTGTCTCTGTCCACTCTTGACTACAAGTGGGTACCTTGTAATGGAATCCTCTTCCAGGGAGCTAGGAGTATGTTCCATAGGTGATTAATCCAACGTCCAGGGTAATAATGTAAAGAGCATAGGCACGATGTGCTATATGTGACTGAAATTTTTTTTTTTATAAACATACTGTACTCTCTTGAGAAAACAGACACCCCTTCTTGCCTGCACACTCAAAAGCACATGTACACATACAAACCCAACAATACATACCCCTGCTCTCCCTCTCTATTCCATTGTATCCTTACAAATCTGTATAATATACATTACACATAGAACAAAAGTTATATAGTAAAAGTTCTACAAGTGAGCTAATATACAGATTTAATATTTATAAGTTTTTCACATAATCAAAATAAAATAATACATAATGAATAGTTTTTTTGCTCAATCAATGAATCAATTATTAAATCAATTAAGAGTCTATAAATCATCAATCAATATTCAAAGCAGACAGCTTGTGCTAATGATGTTGGCATTATTCTTGAGATTCATGTTCATTACATTTTATTTCTTTTTATATATATACAGTGGACAAGCCGTGTGATGTTCACTATTTCCAATGCGATAGCGGACATTGTGTGCTGCAAGAATATGTATGCGATGGTGATGCAGACTGTCGCGATTTATCTGATGAGTTCAATTGTCGTAAGTAAATTCATCGAAAATATTTTTGCTTGTTTCACTAAAGGCCGTGTAATAAAAATATGTTGTTTCAAGTAGAGTGAGCTTTATACTGTGTGTATAATTTTATATTTTTTTTGTTCGTCATAGCAACACGGTACCCTGGCGGATTTTACTGCTTGCAGGGTGAGTACACCTGCAGTAATAAAATCTGCGTCAGCATGGATTGGTTGTGTGATGGGGATGATGACTGCGGAGATGGTAGTGACGAAACAAAAGATATTTGCTGTAAGAATATTTTTATTTCTACTTCAAAAAAAAAACAAACAATGCAGCATTATTTTTCTTTTTTATTTTTTTTTTAAAAAGCTTGCCAAACAAAAAATATTCAATTTAATGACGGAATAAATACTAACCAGTATATTAAAATAAATTTAATAAAACTATATCTCTTTAAAGAAATATTTATTTAAAAAAATAATTTTTGCATTCGATCCACACGATCACGCATTAACAGATCGAGCAAAACCATACTATGGCTATGAAAAATGGCCAAACAAGCACCTTTTATGTAGTACAATCAAAGGTGACTTCGAGAAAAAAAACAAGAAAATATCTCGTTCATGGTTACCCTAAAACCGTAATGGAGTCTAAAATGTCTAGCTACGTACCGACTGTAAAGCAATGGCTAGACCTAAGCTTGTTTTTATTTATTGCCCAATATACCATAAGGTAATGAATACGATTTTTGATTCAAGCAACCACTAGTTGTACAATAGTAATGAATAGGCAATGCCTAGGCCTCTCTAGGTCTAATCGGGGCTTCACAGCTCAGCATGAGAGATCCAATGTTGTGTGCATACATCGTCGTCACCGCGCTCGGTTTTCAAAATTATGCCTTCTATTTTACCGATTTTACGTGTGCATCTATGGCCCGATTTTAGTAAAAATACATGTCTGTTTTAGATTTTATGTTCCAAGTGTTAATTTCGGAAGCCATATTTCTCGAATTTGTACTTGAATGAAAGGAAAACCTTTGAAAAAAATTTCTAAAAAAACAAATTTAAAAAAAGCTCACGGAGGGCAACAACATTTTTTTTTTTGGCCTAATAATCAAACCAAATTGGACGTTTGCTTGTGTCCTTATTATATGAAATTGATATTATAGTATGATATTGTAGTTATTGGGCTGTAATGTGAAGCATTTTTAGACATTTAGGTTGTGGAAAATAATAATTATAATTATGCTAATTTTTAATGTTTTGATTTGTCTTAAAATCTTCATCCCAATATTACAAATAATAAAAGATTGATATGTATTTTTTTTCTGTTCAGTAAATTTGGATTGCAAAGAATCTACTCATTTCCGATGTTCAGATCTGACGTGCTTGCCGCTATGGAAACAGTGTAATGGCGTCAATGACTGTGGTGATGGCAGTGATGAAAACAATCATGATATATGTAGTAAGTTGTCTGTTCCAACTCCCAACAAACATAGAAAGATACATAATTTGTTGTTTTATTAGATATGTCTGAAACAGATACAGATAAAACTGTATTCACAAACTAAGAAACAAAACAAATAAGTCATAGCTTCAAACATAGTCTCAACATTCAAATGAAAATAAAAACAAACCAAAAAAAAAAATACTAAACAAGCTTGCACTATCAATCAAGGCTAGTCAAACATAATCAAGTCATAATGATGAGTACAATGAATAGAAAAAAACCATCAAAGAGTGTTTGTACATATTCAGGTGAGTGATGAATAAAAAAACAACCAAACAAAAACACTACAGAGAATGTTTATACATAGTCAGATGAGTGTGATGAATACAAAAAAAAAAAAAAAATTTACCTCCTATTCATATCAAAAGATGTACTTGGTTATTTAAAGAGCACATTAACCAATTGTGTATACAAGGCCTATGTAATGCAAGCTTTTGTGTTTTTAGTACATTTTGATGGTAAAATATTAGATTTTTAAAATGCCTATTCCAGAAAGCCTATGAAATCAACCAACGTCTGGTTGGGCGGCCCCTGGTGCTGTGACAACACAACTGTGGTACTCTATAGATGAGTGTGATGAATAAAAGAGGAAAAAAAAATCAAACAAACTTAGCCTATCAGAGTATATTTGTACATATTAAAATATGTTTGATGAATAAGAAAATACAAACAAACAAACAAACAAAACAAAACAAAAAACAAAAATTAAAACAAAAAACAAAACAAAGAAATATACACTATCAAAGAGTGTTTATACATAGTCAAATGAGTCTAATGAAGAGATTGTAGATATACGCTGGTTCTATTCTGACAGGGATATACGATTAATATAAATTATTTGTTTTTATATTTTGTTTGAACAAATGACTGTGTTCTCAAAATGAATGAAAAACAATTAAAATCGAATTTATTTTTTCTACACATTTACATCACTATAACAAATGTTTTATACAGGTAATTAATGCTTGTTTTTCCACAGGTCGCCCTGAAACGTGTGGTGCAGATGAATTCAAGTGTATCAATTTGGAATGCATCCCTCTAGAGTTTGTTTGTAATGGTGTCCTCAACTGTAATGATAAATCAGATGAACAAGGATGTGGTGAGTTGACATTTTAAAAGTGGCCAAACAAAAATGACAATGATTATGAGGATTGTGATGATAAAGATAATAATTATAATAGAGGTGATGATGAATTTAGTAATGATGATGATGGTGGTGATGATGATGATGGTGACGGTAGCGGTTATGAGAACAACAATGACGGTGACGATAGACATCATGATGATGGTGGTGCTGATGATGATCATGATAATCAGTATGATCATGATTTAGATAATAGAGATAATGATTGTGGTGATGATGACAATATTGTAGTTAAGATAGTGATTATGATGATAATGTTGATAATGATGGTGGTGATGATAATGATGGTAATGATAATGATAATGTGTCTATATTCCTATATATATGATGATGGTGACAGTAGTAGTGGTTATGAGAACAACAATGACGGTGACGATAGACATCATGATGATGGTGGTGGTGCTGATGATGGTCATGATGATAATATGATAATGATTAAGAGAGATAATGATTGTGGTGATGATGACAATAGGTATGATTATGATGATGTTGATAATGATGGTGGTGATGAATTATGATAATAATGGTGGTGATGAATGATGATAATGATGATGATGATGATGATGATGATGTGTCTATATTCCTATATATGATGATGTTGACGGTAGCAGTTATGATGAGAACAACAATGACGGTGACGATGGACATCACGATGATGGTGGTGCTGATTATGATCATGATAATACATTTGATCTTGATTATGATAAAAGAGATAATGATTATGATAATAGAGATAATGATTATGGTGATGATGACAATAGTTATGTTAGTGGTGATGATGATAATGTTGATGGTGATGATGATAAAGATAATGTGACTATATTCCTATAGTAATTGCTGTGATATATGCCTTCTACATTGATTCCGTCTCTAGCAACTGGAACATGTGGCACCAACAATGGGCAATGTGAGCAGAAATGCATTGATCTGGGAAGAGGCTACGCATGCAGTTGTAACGATGGATATATCGTATCTGCAGTTGACGGAAAATCATGTGAAGGTAACATAAAATAGTACAAATTATCAAGCATTGCCATTGGCTCCCATGTATCTAATGTAAATCAATCCTATGTAGTCTTTGCAGCATGTATGATTTTGTGTATCCTTATGTGTGTGTGTGTGTGGGGGGGGGTTTTAGTTAGGGAAACTGAAATTCAACATTGATCTATGTTTTTTTTATATAAATTTCATAAATATAAGAGCTGTTCACCAAAAATGAAAATAATAATCATCAGGACTAATGCCAAATGATTATACTAATTTATTGTAATATAAAAACATAGATATAAAAATCATCAGCACAAAATAATACTAAATATATATTGATAATAATTGGTTAAACCTTTTTTTAGCCAGTGCAATAACACATGGAGAATATCAAATGTTTGATACTGTTTTTATTTTGCATAGATTATAATGAATGTCTCGAAAATCCATGCATGCAAGTATGTACCAATACGAAAGGGAATTACACCTGCTCATGTGCTCCAGGCTACAGTGCAACAGATAGCAAAGGAACCCAGCCAGACTGTAAAGCAGATAGTGAGTCAGCAATCAGTCAATCAATCAATCAAATAATCAATCGATCTAATCAATGAAATGGAAATATAAATTTTTTTAAATTAAATACTTAAATGTAGGATAATTTGAGTGCATATCCAAAATAATACTTTGTAGTAATTTAAACATATACATCATAGAAATATAAATTGTATTAAATAGTCATATTTATGTACTGCATGATAATCATTCTAAATTATTAATTGCTAGGTGGAAAGCCATCAATAATATATGGAGATGGAAATTCCATTCGACAGTATTTCCCAGAATCCAAAGAATATGTCGAGTTGATTCGCTTCCAAGCCAGAGTACAAGGGTTAGACTATGATACCACCAGCAGTAAGTGATTTTTGCCTGTTTTTTGGGGTGTTTTTTTTTTAAATTTTTTTGTTGACATTCAAGATAATAGATTATTGTTGTGAACTTGTATTATACTGGTAGTACAAGCAGACCTCAGCTTTTTTAAATGTCATTATATTTGTAACTGTTATTATACTGTGTTGTAGCTTGCAATTTTTTCCTCTATTTATTACATTTGTTACAATTATTGATGTTTTGCGACTGTTTTAACAATATTATTGCAGATATAACATATTGGATTGATTCTGGACTTACATCAATTCAAAGAGCGCGTATTGGATCAAAAACCTTGCTGACTCCTGAGACAATTAATATTCAAAATCTACAGAATCCTTATGGTATTGCTGTTGATTGGTTTGGACAGTAAGTATCACACACATACGGACATACAGACAGACACACACACACTTGCACATACCCACACACAAGCACATAACCACACACATGCACACAGACACTAAATTATGCTTAAAAGGCTCAATTATGTAATAAACTTTCAATAAGCCTATACAAGATCCTTAAATTGAGTACAAGCTAATAGATAATAATATGTCGTTCCTGGTGTTTAAAGACGGGCACTCACTCTGGTGGATCCAGCTCGGCTCCCTGTGAGCACTGGGCACAGTGGTGCCCAGCTTCAGGATATAAGAACAATTGGGCTTCCAAGTGTTCAACCTCAAGTCTGGTGTCTACCAATTTTACAATATCAAGCCAAAAAAAAAAGCACAGGTATGACACCAGAGACAAAACCAGTTTACACTTTATGAAGAAACTGCGGGTTGATCTCGTGTCGCACTCATTTACACTGAACACCGGTGTTGAACGCTGCCCGCTATAGACATTTTTGAGGAAAACTAGCTCATTAGTTTGCAATCAAGTTTAGTTTTGCAGAGGAAAAACATTATAATTTATTTGTACACTAAAAACCAAATTAATTTCTAAACATAATAACTAAAATACGTTCAAAATAACAAATAGTTATATTATTACAAAAACAACTGAATAATTTTAATGAAAGTGGATGATTAAAATCCCGGTTTGTGGAAGTCGGGACTGTTTACACTGTGTGTTCCGATGTTGACGCGACTATCCCGGATAAGCTTCTCCTGAAAACACGGTGTTTAAAACCCGGTGTAGTAAAAGTGGTTATTAGACTGCTGGGGCATTGGATTGCATTGGATTTATTCAGTGTAAACACCAAGGATAGCCCACGAAAGTCTAGAAGAAGACTTATTTCCAGTGGGGTCCTTCTGGTAGTGATTGGACAGTACACCAGGAGACAATCCCCTACAATTTTTACCGAAGAGTGTACTGTGTTCTTTAACGTGCACATTGGCCATAAATACACACGGGACCAACGGCTTAAACGTCTCATCCGAAAGACGGTGCCCTATGTAACTTGTATTTCAGCCCTCCAGCTGAAACACAAGGAGAGGCAGCAATTAGAATTGAACCGGGGACCTAGAGATCTCCACGGTTCAGCGCACACACAGTGGCTACCACCAGATTAGCCGACTGAGCTAAGCTGCTCTCTCTAAAATAAATAAATATAAAAATAAAAGGCATAAATATAGTTATTAAATATAATCATAATTTTGTAACATTTTAATATACTCTTTCTAAAACGGTGAAGTAAAAGTGGGTATTAGGCTGCTGGGGCATAAATATAATTGTTAAATATAATTATAAGTTTGTAACATTTTAATATATTCTTTCTAAAACAGGTAATTTATTTTAATATTTTTTAGGAATATATTTTGGACTGACCAAGGTATTAATGGAGGTGCACCAAGAGTAAGGAGGGATAGTGGATCTGGACCAAGAATCTCAATGGCTAAGCTAGACGGCCGTTACATTAAGACCATAGTGAACACAGATCTTAGTCGCCCCGGTGCCATTGTAGTCAACCCAAATAAAAGGTAAGAATATGATCTATAACAATGGTATTTTTTATTCTTTCAAATTTGCTTAGAAATTATACTTGACTATGTTATGTATGATACAAATAGAATAAATTTATAGATTTATAGATTTATCTATTGTTCTATAATATTTATTTGTTGAATATCATTCAAAGAAAATGTTTCTCTACAGAACCTGACTAAATAATCTAAATCTATCTAAATATGCCAATATGCCATTTCATGTTTTGTACCAAAATACTTGGGGCAATACCTCAATTTGGTTTTTGTGTGTGTTTTTTTTTATTTCTAAAATGAAATTTTAATCTCCAGGCTGATGTACTGGACAGACTATGGAGCCTCACCTAAAATTGAATGGTCCTGGATGGACGGAACGAATAGACACACAATAGCAGATGGTCGCATTGTACAGCCTACTGGATTAGCTATTGATTTCGCCAATGATGGAACTGTATATTGGTGTGATGCAAAGGAAAACACGATAGAATCGATAGCATATGATGGTACCAACCGAAAACTTTTGAAATATGGCTCAGGTAAGTCATTGTCATTAATATTTAAAGTGGTAGCAGTTAGTCTATCCAGGTAAGTATCTCACTCGTAGACTACCAACATCACCTCTGATTTGTGTAGAATGTTTTTGTTACATACTGATCATTTCAAAACCTTGATGCTTTTCAACCAAGTCATTTGGCCTAGCAAATGAGATTGACGTTAATGACATAAAATAAAATCCTGTTCTGAGACTGAAAAAGGATATTTTGTTTTTAAAGCTAGGCACCTTAACCACTAATTAGGCTCATGACTACATTCATTTACATTTTGACCGATTAATAAACCTGTTGTAACTGTCTTTGTATTCTGCAGAGTTACAAAATCCATTCCAATTGGATGTGTTTGAGACAAGTCTTTACTGGACCACTGGTAAGACAGAGGCTTCAGGCAGTATCATGAAACTTGATAAACTTGGACGAGGAGTACCAGTTGATGTTACCGTAGGAATTAACCTGCCAACAGCCATTAAGATGTTCCATCCTTCTAGATACAGTATCTCATCTCGTAAGTTTCCAATTTGTGTGGGTGTGTGATTGGGGCTGGGGAAAACAGAAGCAAGCTCCAGTTACTTTACTTTTTTACATAAATCATCCCATGTATACTGTTCAGTACTATCCAGGCTATCAAATTTTATTTGACAAAAACATGTGCCATGGCTAAATATGGTTATGATGACATCATGTCATGACCATTTTTAGACACATCATGACTAAATATGGGCATACAACAGTTTTTTCAACAAAAAAAAAAGAAGAAAATTTGATAATGTAAGCAGAGATTTATAAGTGATTTTTAGACAGAATATCAAGACATTTCTTTAATGTTTTTTACTGTTGTGTGTGGTTACTGAATATAGAAGAGGATGCTGAATTATGGATCCTTAGTCCTTATATTAACTATATTAATGTTTACCTCTTTTTAGTCCATAAGCCTGATATATTAAGCTGCAAATTACTTTTCTGTAATCTCATAAGCCTGATATATGTGCTGTGTTAAGAATTGTGGTGTGATACCCCTGGTTCAATGGAGATTTTACTGGGCAACAGGTTGGCTTACAGCCTGGAAAATAATTGTGGTAATTGATTATTACCTTAATAAACATTGGCCTAGCATAGAAATATATATATATATCTCATGAAAATATTATTTTTTATGGCAGCTAACTCTTGTGCTAAGGCAAAGTGTAGCCATATTTGTATCCAGATTCCAATGATGGACAACAATCGTATAACTGATGGCTTCAAGTGCCAGTGCCCTGATGGTGACGACTTTATACCTGGTAGCGATACTTACTGTATATCAGGTAAGACATTATAAGGCAGAAATTTAAAACATGGATGACAGAGGAAGTTAAGGGTGATGTCAGAGGAGGCTGAGAATGGTGACAGGGGAAGTTGAAGGTGATGTCTGACGATGTTGAGAATGTTTACAAGGGAATTTTAGAGGAGATGTCAGAAGAGGTTGAGAATGGTCAAAGGTAAAGATAAAGTTGATGGCAGAGGGGGTTAAGAATGGTGTAATAGTAATTCGATGTCAAAAGGAGGGCAAGAAGGTTGTAAGGATTATTACGAAGGATGGTCATGGCAATGAGAAAGAGGTAAAAATTGTGCCAAAAGAGGTGAAGAGCAATGACAGAAGGTTGAAGAGTGGGGCTAAAAATGCTGAGCAGGATAAGTACCTGTAACAGCGGTAGAAGTTGATGGCAAAGTCAAGTGAAGAGGGTGGTGAGGGTAATCATAAAGAATGGTGAGAGTGCAGAATAAGGGCAATGCCATGGGAAGAATAGAATAGTGTTCATCAATGCTTTAAAAATATTGATCTCTTCTCTGTTTTAATTCTTGTTCTTCAGTTATGGAAGAGCCTAGAACTTTACCTCCACTGCCATGTAATTGTCCTGATGGCGTTGGCTGCTATCCTGGCACGTCAATCTGTGTGTAAGTACTTAAAACTCCCTCTTCAAATGTTTTGCTTCAAAGTTAACATCCCTGATAAATAGACATTGAAAAATATGGAATAACCTGTTCTCTTGTATATCATCTCTTGACACACTCGCTACAATATTAGTGGATTTTTTTCTTTTATTTGGTTTATGTTGAAGGCCAAGGATGTACTAAACAGCTTCTCTAAGTGGTGTATTTCTTCTATTGACAATATTCACACGGCAAACATAAGTAGTGCTCTAAATTATGAGACTTAAAAGAAATCTTGTTACTGTGCTAGGAATTGAAACCAATCACTCTGGGATTGGAAGGCATCTTAACCAACAAGCTATTCACTCAACTCCACTCTGTTATATAGCTTAGTTGCTAAGATGCTTGCTTTCTAATCCTACAGTATATTCCTGTGATATCAGTTTAATACTGTTTATTGATGATTGCAACAAATCATCCGATACTCCAATTCAATTGGCACATCATACCAAATAACGACCCTACAACAAGTGTCCATTTTATGTGTCTTTTTTTAGCATATCTTCCAGCTAATCACGTTGGCCGCCCTAGTCACATGATATGATCAACATCGTGACGTAATCACATCACTACAATCCGGACTCTTTCTCATGACTGAAACAACTCCACCTCCTATGCCACATAAAGAGACTTCGCTTTATAAAGCATCATCCGTTCTGTAATTTGTATTTAATTGCTGTTGAGTGTGAATGAAAAAAAAAAAAATTTCTCAATATTCAATATGATTTTCATTTCAGGTGTGAATCTAATTGTAAGTCAACAGCAAAGCCACAGACCTCAGGTGAGTTATTGTAACAATTATTCTATTTTAATCTTGTTTTTAAGATGCAGCAAAGTGTGAAATGAGATTGTTTGTATAAATTAGAATAATTAGTATGATATATCATTTATATTTGCCCTTTTAAACATAATTGTAATGATATGATCATAATGATAATAATAAGGATTATTAAAATAATGATTAGTGAAAATGTTAATGATGGTAAGCAAAGATAATCGTTGTAGTGATGATGAATATGAGCACAGAGATGATAATGACGTGAACTTTGATGATGAAGGTGATAATATTGATGATGATGATGATAACATCATCATCATTACATTATTAAAATATAAAATATCATCACTGTTGTTGTTAGCATTATCAAACACAGTGTCAGTAATTTAATTCATTAAAAAATTTATCAATTAATAATATCTTGGTATTTTTTTTCTAATTTACAGATGATCCAGGAACAAAAGCCATTATAGCTGTTATTGTTGTCTTGCTTGCCTTCGTCATTCTAGCTCTCCTAGCACTTATTGTTTATAGATCGAGAAAACGAGGGTATTAAGAATACACAATTTATAATTATAAGAATTATTTCTTTTTCTTCCTTTCACATTCAACAAGAACTTGCCTATTAAAGTATAATATGCCGACATGGTGTCCAAACCAAATGGTTGTCTAAAACATCTCTCTGGGTCTTGATGCTCTATGTAATAAGTTTCATTATACAGTAAAGGTACAAGTCACATGCGTGATTCAACGCATACTAGGTGAAAGCGCATGTGAAAAAAACATTCTTTAGAAAGTGACTATTATATTTTAAAATATATGATCTGTCTCTTATACACATCTAGATGTGTATAAGAGACAGTGTAAATACAGTGTTCGAATAAAGGTCATGATAATACATTGTGTAGCATAGCTCGCAACGAATGTAGTCCTGTAAAAATATTGTTTATCCATTTGATTATATTGTGTTTAGGGTGCTATGTAGCAAACTTAATTTGAATATTATATACTTATATATAAGAACATATTATGTTTTGTCATCAGTTCTACCAAGTTTGCAGCAGAAGGACCTGTCACATTCCGAGGAGGAACCAACGTAGATATTACAGGAGCAACCAATGGAAGTGGGCCAACAGGCATGCCGCCGGTAAAAACACCTTAGCATTTTCATCTCCATTTAATTATATTAAAAAATAATGAAAGAGCACTTAAATAACAAAAATATATATCATTCATAAAATAGACTTTAAATAAATATAGCAAACTTACTGAAAATATATGATGAGAAGAACATTTTTTGGGAAAAATCCTTGATTGATTATATATAAATTTTTTTCATTTCAGCCTGTTTCTAATGAATTTACAATTAATACGGAAACTAGCAACAATTTTGAAAACCCTGGTTACGAAATTGCTACACCTAATTTGTATGCTGTTGGCAACGGCAATACACAGAACAGTGCTCCAGAAAAGACTGGCTTGCCGGATGATCAGGCCGAACCACTTCCTGAAAAAGTTGGTCTACCAGATGATGTCATTGGGAGTGTAGTACTAGGAAGTCCGCCAGTGAATGCTGCTCCGATGGAACCCCCTCCGGCATATTCTCCGACTGAAACTTTTGATGACAATGATCAGAAAAATTTAGTAGAGAAAGGTGAAATGTGATTTGACACAGTTATTGTTGCATCTTCCTAGATTCACAAAGAATGGGTATTTTTAGTAAAAACCTTGCAAGTGTTTGTACTTTTGTCTTGCATATAAAACATGCAAACAAAGTATACAGATAATTTGTGGAATCTGAAAACAAACATCTGTAAGTTTAACTTGATTTTAAATCAATTAATTTTTTAATATCTCATAAATTGGACATTTTTTGTGCAGTGTTATAATACCACCAGTATATTTGACATTACAATGTACCATAAATGACCCAATAAGCGTCTTTTTCAAATAAGCATCGCTGCTGAATAAGCACCTTGCCAAACATGATGGTTTTTTTGCTAAGCGCCACTCTCAAATATGCACAACAACACTTATTAGAGATGCATTTTTAATCGGAAAAATAACCAAATTCTTACAAAATTTATAATACTTATGTTGCAATATGCAGTATGTGAGATAGGACTATGTACTACACATAGTACCAGTTAAACACTAAAATTATTTTAGTGTGCTGCTCTCTTGTAGAAGGGCTGCTGCATTTTTTATTGGTTCATTTACGGTATTTTAATGGATAAAATAATATACTGATGCGGTTTAGGTATCTTAGATGCAATAATGAACGAAAAGGTCATTTAATCTCTCAATTTTATTTCTGAATAGGACAATATTTTTATATCAATTATTATTGCATGTAAAACAATATGCAATAATTGTATTTTTCACAATATTGTATATAAATTGAATCAAAATGTTGATATATATGTATTAATATAGTGGTTTTTAGGGGTATGATTATTCAAGTAGCATATTATTCTTCACTTCTGACATTCCTATATAGTACATAAATGTTTAAATACCAAATAATCATTTTAAAAACCTTGATATAAAGGGAAAAATTTTATCATCATATATATTTGTTCATTTAATTTGTTAAGCCATTTTAATAAAATGTTTGCTTCTTCCACTGTGGCAAGGGACAGAATATTGATTGTTAAAATGAAAAATATAAAAAATATATAAGGACAGTATATATAATTTTGCTGTAATGATTTTCGTAAGGGACATTTTGGCAAGGGATGCTTGTGTAAATTCCATACGTAACTTGCATTGGAATAACTGTGTCAATATTTTTTAATGGTGAGCTAAGTAATTTGTTAGCTGTTGATAACTAACATTTTAATGTCGCACAAAATGTAAATTACCGATTGTTGAGTTTTCCTCAAAGTTTATATTTTCATATTAACTCGACAATTTCTTTTTTAAATGTTGTTTTTGTTATTTGTAAGTTCATCATCATTTTATTCTTAATGTTAATGATTCCCTGCTGTATTGTCATTTCACTGCTTCCTTTATCCTGTTATTCCCAAATTATAGAAATCAAATTCGAGGTAGAGGGTGAAGGCTTGCCAAAACTTGTTCAACCAGAGGTGTTACACCTACTAATAAACAGCACTTTAACAGAGCCTTGATATTATAGTCCAGAAATAGCATATTAAAACAATGTAATGCCACATTTTGAAACTCATGAATGTCGTAAGTGGACTCGCATAAAATAGCATTCCTGACCCAAATGTCTCACAGCTAAGCTCCACTACAAACTGATATTTAAATACTCCAAAATAATGAAGTAAAGGGCTACTATAATTTGAATTAAATTAAGTAGTATAACACGGACGCTATGGTATTGTTTGATATTCCACTGTGAAGGGGGACCCCTTGTAATTGACTACTGAATGTAGGGCCCCCAACTTCATCTTGCTTGTGACTCATCATTAAGGACACTGTGTTCCATTTAGCTATTTCAGTGTATGACTTATACAACTTTCAATGTACAGTGATGTGTTCATCTAGTTCCTTTTCTCAGCCTGTTATGAATATCACTGCCCGCCACCTCGTGACCTTGCAAAATTAAAAGGCGTTTTTGAAGTTTTTACAAAATATTATGGAATGATTGCTATAGGAACGTGAAGAAAATATGGTAAAATGGGATTGCCAGTTTGTCCTTTGACCAAACAGTGTTTATAGAGTCTTAAGAATAAAATTATGTGCATGAATTTATTAGAATTTATATAAACTTTTCCAAAAAGTGGTTCCACATCTAGCAAATGCTATAAAATTCAATTAATGGATTTTTGTATCATTTACTTTATATATCCCTTTATGAATCAAACTTTTATTACCAAACATTTTACCATACAATATGACTTTTGTAGAAAGTTCTTAACCGGACTTGCCTTTACTAAACAACCTTGATAAGATTTAACGTCCATAAATAAACAAGCTTACAGTGGTATTGAAACTTTCTATGACTTTTAAAATATACTTGTTTTATACATTTGTAAGTATTTTATAACAGATTTAGAATTCAATTATATTCATTACCAATATTTTATCTTTCATTATTGTGTATTATACGTAGGTTGAAGATTAAGGTCATTATAAACGGTATAGAATACATTTTAAAATTTGACATCCCAGCGGTATGTCAATGTCAGCATTTTACTCGGTACATAAAATCTCTGCACACAAAAGAAAATAATTGTGTGTTTAAAAATATTTTTATATATTTTAAAATATTGCTCATAAAATATTGTTTTAATGTTAATGTCTCATATAATGATTGCAATGTTTTTAACCTAGCGAATAGTTCCATTGCTGTAATAATACAGTAGTACTATGGATCGGCAATGCCCTACATATCAATAATTATGACAACATTTATTGTCATTCTTGTGAAAGGCTAACCAAAGAGGATTGCGCCCTCTATCAGTCACCTTGATATAAAACATTATTATAAGATCTTTGATAAAAAATACAGCAGATTTTTTACTGTACACATAGTTACAGCACATGTATTCGTTATGTTTTAATTAAAATAAAATAGATTTAGTATCATTTGGAGTGGTCATTTTATTTTGTTTCATCATTAAGGGGTCACATTCTTGTATCATTCATTGATAGTTATTGTTTGCATTGTTGCCGTTCTGTATACACTAATAATATCTAATTATCTTATAGCATATAATTTTTTTTTTTAATCTGTTTTTGTTTGAATTGTTTTGTAATTTGTTATAACAACTATATTTTTTAAACACTTATTTCGTTATGTTTTCACTCTATTCATTTCAAATAAAATTGACCTACAAAGTTTGTTTTTGTTCATATGTATTCATTTTTAAAATTCATTGTCAATAATGTCATTTAAAGTAAATAGACAAAAATAGAAATAACATTCTTCAAAAGGTGACTACTTTGAAGCATAGATTTTTTTACAAAAACAATTATTTTGGTTCATAGTTGCAATTGAAGTGACTCAAAAACAGCATTTAAAAATATAGATAATTTTCAAACATTCATTGACGCATTGCTTACTGAACACTATCATATTTTCAGAAGATAAATCAAAACAATCGTTATTTTATTACTGTATAGTACATGTTTGTGGAGAGTTAGGCACAAATTTGTAAATGCAACTACAGTAACATAAATGCATAGGAAATCAAGAAGGAAGTGACAGCAAATGCAAAAACGGATCAGGAGAAGCTAATGCAAGCCACTCAGAATACAGCTTTAGAAATATGCGGGAAAAGCAATGTAAAGAAACGAAATATTAAGAAAAATTAAGTTAAGAGAATAATATGGAAATTACATAATATGTTTGTGTGTATGATGAAGCTTTTTTGATTATAAATTCTACCCAGTTTTTTTTAGTACCATAAACACCTGGTTTCCAATCTGAAGTTTGCCTATGCAACCTGCCGGGTACTCTACCAACAGTAGTGAGGTACGGTATGCAACCATTGTTAACCTACTGTTAAAATTCTCCACCTGTCTTGTTCAGACGGGAGTCTTCTGTGCGTCACCAATTAAGTCTTTTGTACTCGCTTTTTTATTCAAAATAAAACCATGTGTACAATCTAATCCAAACTTCACAATATCGGGATGGTACCTGGTCTTTGCCCTTGGTTTCCATCTGGTACCATCTGCGCATTGGTCCTCGTACTAGGCATGTGTACCTTTATTGTGCTTTTTATCCTGCTTGTTATAAAATATTTTCACTCTGCGTTTATTAGTGTGCAATAATACCCTATATTTATTATTATTATTATTATTATTATTATTTTATCGTCAATGTTATCATCTTCCTCATCGTCGTCCCCATAATCGTCATCATCATTATCATCATCGTTAGTGTGCAATGACACTAGCCTATATTCATTATTATTATTATTATTATTATTATTATTACTATTATTATTATTATTAATAATAATAATATTATTTTATCGTTAACGTTATAATCTTCCTCATCGTCGTTACCATAATCGTCATTATCATCATCATCGTCGTCATCATGATCATGATCATTACTAGACCTGTCATTGTTATTAGTATTGCTATTGTTATGATTATTATGATTATTATTATTGTTGTTGTTGTCGTCGTCGTCGCCGCCGCCGTCGTCGTCGTTATTATTAAGTATGGTACAGTACCATCAAACTGATTCGTTGTTTAATGTCGTTCAGTTAAGCCGGGCTATCGCTGCACCCCACGCTTGTCGGCCGACGCGATTCTATTAAGAACGCAACACCACGCGACGAGCTCGCAACGGATTGTTTTTTTAATAACGATCCGTTCAGACTACTACCGACAATCAGCATACGGCGTCGCGTCGGCACACGGAGCGGAGTTGAATTCGTCGTACCACGCAGTGAGTACATATCTTACACCATGATTTTGACAACCCCTGATGCTACCAGCTCACTTTTGTGACATCATATTAATTCTATCAGCTTTAATTATGATATGCTGCCGACGACAGATAAGTTAACTTTACCACCAGTAATTTCGCTTTTGTGTTTACTCTCTACATAGTTCATAATGCACAGCACAGCATACGAGTTGTCGTTACCGCACTAATGCATCTTTAAAATAAGTGCCTCATTTTTAAAAGCACCAATTTTCAGATTCAATGACAAACGCCACGAAGAAACACACATTAAATAATTTTCATGAGAAAGGTTGATTCTGGACCCACACTATGATAAATGCATCACACGTTGTTAAACAGCGGCTCTGATTGGTAGCTTAAATTAACTACGTTTCGTCCAGCATTGGTTAGCAATAATTAGATGATTAATAAATAATGATGATTATAGTCGATTATCGAATGCACATCAAATTAAATGTTTTAATTCTAACCCGAAAGGGTAGGCTATAATGATGCTAATCATCGTCAAGCGGGCATATTCTTTATTGCTTGCAGTTGCTGTGTCGATTTTTGTAATACAACACACGAACAATTTCTGTGAATACCAGTGTATTTATTTTATACTCTAACTTCACTTTTTTCTTCGGAGAAAAATATACATTTTGCCTTTAGACTATATGTGGTCATTCTTGCACCTAATTTAAACATTTTGAATGCAAAAATTATAATTATTCATTACCGTTACCTTTAATTTGCGGTCCTGTAATTTTTTTATTCACAACATCATTACATTTTTTATAAGGACATTTTATAAGAACACACTGTGACACTGTGGCTGAAATTAAGAACAAATTGAGGCTAAATTTCTAATTTGTGTTTTTTTTTTTTTTTAAATAGAAAAACTAACCAATTTTATCGGTACCTTATTTGCTGTAGGTGTGACTATACCCTCTATTAAATAAAATACACAAATATATCGCTGTACAATAATAATTTTCAATGTTTGAATAGTGTGTAAAAATAAGAACAAAATAGGAACATTTTGATCCTGAAATCGGCAAAAAAATAAGAACACTGAGTCTGGGCAAAATTTTATTGGTTATATTAAGAAAAAAGTATATAATTGTTTTTTAATATGATTGACGTGATAATTCAACGAATTCGCCTAATATCCGTTAAAGTTTTTATATATTATTTCATTGATTGTGTTTATTGTTTTGTTCTCTGACACAAGAGATGCACACACGTTATGTTAATCATGCGGGTAGATATTCGACTCCGGTGAGTCTATCTCTCACAAATTTGTATTCAAATTAATCAGTTCTAAATAACCCCCAGCAAAAGCTAGTTTTCTTACTGTGTGATCTACTTTATTTAACTGTTTTTCTCCGAGAAAGCCTTGGGAGGCAAAACAATAATGATAGTAAATTGCACACTTAGTGGATAATGTAAACGTTTGTTAACTGTGTTATGTACTGATCTATTCAATTGAGTCGTTTTCTCGCTCATTTTGTGTTGCTCAAGGTTGGTGCAGGTTATTAGTTCTTTCTAGTGGTGTTTTCTACCGACGTCGATTGACCAAGGGTGGTAGCTGTAGATTTGAAGAAGTAGGCCTAGAATGACTAAAGAACCGGTAAACAACAATGCATGAAACGGGCCAAGTAAATTTAAGCTAGACGTTATAGGCCTAATTAGGCCTATAATTTTGAGAAGCTATATGCAATAGGAATCGACTCATGGGATTAGATAAAAGGAATACGCATAAATGATCCAGAAATGTAATATCAAATTTAATTTAGTCTGAATATTCACAGCCGCTATGGCACCATTTTATACTGATTAAAATATATCCAATATATTTATATAATTATATTTCGAGAGATATTAAATAGAATGTTTTTGGTTTTACATCACCACAGACCAGTAATGGCGCCAGGACCTGCCCGACGGAGGGGCTAAATGCCACGACGGAAGGTGGGGGGGGGGGTAGTGGAGCGAATCGAGTCTCACTTGGCTGGGGCCAGGGGGACGCATAGGGCCCCCGGTGGGGTCCAGGGGAAAGCCCCCCTGGAAGCCACGGATATTTGATGAATTATGGCGAATTTTTATTACGTATTTGATAGGCATCGAGTTACTATAGTATGACTTTATGTAGGCTATGCTTTCTAATGTTGAAATCAGCTTCCAAAACCAAAAAATATTGAATAAAACAAGAAACAAAGAGTATGCAATGTAACCATCTAATTCATTTTCGAATCCTCATTCTTGAAAGTGAAATTCTATATTTTGGAAATTTTACATGAAATCTGTCAACCACGCTGTCATGGTCGAGGTTGCTTCACCTATAACGATGTATTCCAACCATGAGGCTATCCAAATGGGCATTTGTCGTAACAGAACGCAAAAATGATTTTTAATTAGTCTCATTGAATTATTATTATTATTATTATTATTATTATTATTATTATTATTATTATTATTATTATTGTTATTGTTGTTGTGACGAAAAGTTAACACAAAAAATATGGTGGCTAAACGAATATTACATGTAAATATTTTTTTTTATTTTTATGTTTCAATAAATCTTTGGCTGATACGTTTTCTTTTCCATATGATTATTAATTGCAAGAGAAATTCATGTAAAGTATAGACTTTGGAATCGGTAAACGTAAAGGGCGTTTATTTCCGACTCCAACCCCTCAAAACCACAAGGACAAGTGATGGCAAAAAAACACAAAATGTTAAAACTTCAGAAAGTATTTGGTATGAAGGAAAAAACAAACATAGGGTCAATTTCCTCCGGCTCGTAAATTAGCTGTAGAAAAGTCGAAAGTAATATTCATCGCGTATTCGCGTGTGTGTACGTGTTGCTAAATCGACATTTAAAGGTCATTTTAAAATCTCTTTATTTGTGTATACTATTTTTGATTTTATCTACCAGTCAAAGCTGTTATTTAGTTGATGACAACAATAGAAATTAAAGTCGGTGGCGTGTTAGGGCGGTGTACAGAGTTCGATGCCCTATCAGGCAAACTAAAACCCTATCATGTACGTGAGCCCTCGGGCAATGGCTGCCAGTCTAAACATTTTTTCCGTCCCGTGAACAGTTGTTTTTATTGAAAGAAGGAGGGGGTTGACCTGTATCTACGAAGAACAGTAATTACCATATATTTACTAAAATTTTATTTTCGATTTGGCTTCACGTTTATTGTTATTTTTTTGTTTATTGAGGGAATCAATGGGAAAAAGAATACATTTTATATGAACGGGTATACCCAAGGTGCAGATTTTTATAATTACACTTATTGTATTATTATTTATCATCATCATCATCATCATCATCATCATCATCATCATTATCAAGAACAATAATTAGTTAAAGAAAAAGTACCGGTACACTTAAAAAAAAAAACTTACAATAAATGCATCCATATA